GCCGAAAAGGGGCAACCTCAGATTACGGTCCTGAGTTTAAGGGACTCGGGTGCCCTCGTCGGCCACGCCCTCGTCGGCCGTGCCCTCGTCGGCCACGCCCTCGTCGGCCACGAAGACCTCCCAGAATCGGATTCTATACTTACTCATTTGTACAGCCCATTAGAGGCTTTGTATTCGGCCCAGTAGCGGTCCAGTTGTAAATGGGCCTCCCAAGCTCAAGGCTTGGGAGCCCAACCCTAATTTTCTCTATAAATACTCCCCTTGGGAGTAGTTATAGGGGTTACGAAATCATTCTATTGAAGCATATTATTGCACTTCTCTCTCTAGCTCTCACTTCTCTCTAGATATACTCTATCAGGACCAAAAATGACAATTAACTATAAAACTCTCTATTTATTAGCGCCAAACATGTTGGCATTACGATGTTGCAACCCATTATTCCATTTTTTTAAATATTTAACGTTTTCCTTGTGAGTAATTGATTAAATGTTATACAATATGGCAGTGACCGTGAGATGTTTGGAATTGATTCTGCTTCTGCTTCTTTTTTGAATTAGAAGCAGAATCAGAATCAGTTTTCAGAAGCCGATCTCCTTCAACTTTTAAAAAAATTACATCTAAGAGTAAATTAGAGCACCAGAAGTAATTCTGCACTTTCACCCAAACACTTCAACTTCCGCTTCTACTCACTAAAGGAGCAGAAGCAGTTTTGAGAATCAGATCCAAACACCCCCTATATGTCTATATACATTTATTATGTAGTGACTTAATGTGCACTTATCCAATAATAATGCCATAAGAGAGGGTTCAATATAAGACATTACCACAACAACACAACTCCACCAGAGTTAAGAGTATGTTTGGCACAACTAGCTGAAGATGTACTTTTATGAGCTTTTTATAACTGTAAGCTTTTAGTGACTGAAAAGATCTCAAAAGAAAAAAGTAGTAGCTGTTTGATAAACAACTGACTGTTTGATTTAAATGTGTTTGATATACAAGCTGTTTGGACTAACTAATGCCAAAAGCTACAGACTTATCTGAGATGCTACTCACTATAGCATCTCAAAAAAGATCTTTTATTTTTATAGAAGCTCTTGAAAATTGGTATGCCAAACATACAACTAGAAATTTTTAAAAACTTTTATATAATACAAAAAAGCTAAAAGGCATGAACTTATGCATGCCAAACATAGTCTAATATATTCTGCAAATGTTTAAATTTAGTATAATTACGTTAGAAAAACTTAGTACAATTATTCTTCAACTCGAACTCTGGCCCTCGGCTTGTTTGATAATTGGGTAGGATCGAAAGAACACTTTCAATATGAGACAAGGTTCAACTAAGTACATCAAGTTGTACGAGGTGGAGTAAAGAATATTTAATTGATCATTTCAATGTTAATAAATTTCACCTCTTAAAAGTGTCAAATGCAAAGAGTACACTATATTGCATTTAGGGTTGGACTCGGGCCGGGTGGCAAGACCCGGAACCGGCCCGGGACCGGTACCGTTCCGGCCCGGCCCGAACCGGTGGCCCGGTCAGTGACCGGTCCGGGTAGGCCCGACCCGGTGGGTTTCCGGTCCGGGCTCGGATCACCCATAACAAGGCCCGCCCCGGCCGGGCCTGGGCCCGGTTCGGGCCAATTTTTTTTTTTGGTTTTTTCATTTGTTTGGGCTTCACCGGGTTGGGCTTGATGTTTAGGAGGGGTTTGGGGGGTGGGGGTGAGGGGGGGGGGGTCAGGGATGGGTAGCTAAGAAAAAAAACAAACCCGAGACCCGACCCGGACCTGGACCGGACCCGGTGGCTACCCGGGCCGGTCCCGGGTCCAGCTATATAGAACCGCCGGCCCGACCGGGCCGGTCCCGGGTCCAGCTATATAGAACCGCCGGCCCGAGTCTAACCCTAATTGCATTTGACATTTTAAGAGGTAAATTTATAATATTGAAATGGTCAATTAAATATTCTTTACCTTACCTCATACAAATTGATGTACTCAATTGACCATTTTAATATGATAAATATCACAATAATCTTTACCTTTTCAATAAGGTACGTAGCTCCGTATAACATTGTTATGAGCAAAATTGACCTTTCTCTAAACGGTTTTCCCATTTCTCTACAAATATCCACTTTTTTTCGTTGTGTTTTGTTTCACAATGTTTTCTACACAACTTACCCTAGAAAAAGAACATTATATTTTGAGATGAGTTATTCTCTTTCTTTTCCATACACTCAAAGCCGTAAGTTTCTAAGAGTGTGATTGGGGAATGCTATTTTGTTCACTCCTCTTTGGAGGGTGAACATCCTCCTCCTCTCTAACATGTTGTCACGTGACATTTATCTCACTTTTTTCTTGTAATTGTTATAACCTTTTTTTTGTTTATGGTCTAAAATCTAAATGTTACAAAAAATGTATTAGGTTAAATAATTTTTTATGATCTTTTCAATGGTGCCAACATTCATTCTGCGGAGTATATGAGAAAACCGGGATTTTTTCTTCTAAATATCTATTTTTGGTGAATTTCAATTTTGTTTTTCATATGCAATATTGGCACCATATTAAAGATATTAAAACATTAAAAAAAATTATACTCCCTTTGTCTCACTAACTTTGTCTCTTTCACATTTAAGTAAAGAATTTGTGGTACTAGTTAATTCTCTCTTTTCTGCACAAACTTCAATCATACAATTTTTACTTTATTAATCCCTGTGCTGATCATATTTGGTAAAATTTTAAGAGACACATGGAGCATTTTTTTTTAAACAAATTGGATTAAATGAAAAGGTTAAATCAATTTCAAAATAAAAAACAAGTGCCATGCCTAGGGATGCAAACGAGCCGAGCCCGAGTTTATGTAGGCTCGAGCTCGAGCTCGAAATATATTGTATTGGCTCGAGCTCGAGCTCGGCTCGAACGAGCTTAAAAAATCCGGGCTCGAGCTCGACTCGCAAATATTGACATGGCTCGATTCGGCTCGACTCGACTCGATAATTTTGGTTCGTCAACTCAAATGTTACAAGTTCGTTTAGCTCAAAAGTTCGGGTTCGAACCCGAGCTCAAGTATGAAACAATCTTTGAATATTTGTGTTTAGTATTTGCAAATTGAAATTTACATGCCCAACAACTAAAAGTAGAGTAAATTTTGTCCAAAATAAATAAAAAATGATCAAATCATGATGATGATTTAACTCAAACTAGAGTTAAGGGAATGGAAAATATAATATCTCTCCGATTCTCATATACATTTACCAATCCGCCCAATCGGTATTATATATATTAATTTATATTGTATATATTATATGTACTAATATATATTATATATTAATTTATATTAATATTATATATATTAAATATATAAATATACACACATATAAAACTAGGCTCACGAGTTAGCGAGCCTAAAATTAGTAGGCTCGTTTATGGCTCGAGTGCTTAATGAGCCGGCTCGAGCTCGAGTTTGACCTAACTCGATTCGAGCTTTGACCAAGCAACTCACGAACGGATCACGAGCGACTCGGCTCATTTGCACCCCTAACCATGCCACATGGCAGACAAATAGGATGTGGGTGATGTTCACCTTCTTTTAAGGGATGAACAAATTTGATTTCGTGTTTGATTTCAAAGTCTTTTCCTTTCTTTTCCTTAAATTTCCAAACATACCCTAAGAAGAGTAGTTGAAAATCATTGGGGATGGCGGGAAGAAGAAGCTTTCGAAGTAAAGAAGAGGTGGAGAATGAATCAATTTACAACTTCGACGCTGAGCAACTATATAAATACAATAAACAGATGAACGTTAACAAGTGGGTTCCATGGTCTAGCGGTTAGGACAAGTAACCCGAGTTCAATTCTCGGTGGAACCTTACTTTTGCCGGTTTTTATGTCTTTTATACGAAATCATTATAACGATCACTAACAACTCATATAAGGGGGTGTTTGGATTTGATTTTTAAAACTGTTTCTGCTCCTTAATAGAGCAGAAGTTGGAGTGTTTGGGTAAAAGTGCATAAATGATTCTGGTGCTCTAATTTACTCATAGAATCAGTTTTTTTAGAAACTGGGGGTGACCAGCTTCTGAAAAATGATTCTGATTTTGCTTCTACTTTTAAAAAGGGATAAGGCTCAAATTGGACATTATGGTTTCATCAGAATTTCATATTGGACACTAAGGTTTCAAATGGACCAAATTAGACACTATGGTTTCATATATATCTCATATTGGACATTAAAATTTCATAATTCATAGTTTTTGGACACTCACTTAGATTAGATAAAGATCAAATTGGACACTCACTTATATTGAATTATGAAACTTTAGTGTCCAATATGAGATACATATGAAACCATAGTGTCTAATTTGGTCAATTTGAAACCCTAATGTCAATATGAGATTCTGGTGAAAGCATAGTGTCTAATTTGAGTCTTATCCCTTTTTAAAAAGAAACAGAATCAGAATCAATTCCAAACACCCCTAATTATGGTATTGAATCGTATTAACTTTATTACTCCGTATTTAATAATTTGCTCTTATGTTTTTGGCAAAAATGTAGTTATCATTTTTTTCGCTACTCCTTAAATTTCTTCGAAATAGTGACTGTTTGTATTTCGTAAGATTATCATAACGATTGTATAGAGTAAGACTAATAAGTCTAGTGGTAATTAAGAAAAACTGAAATTGATATAGAGTAGGTTGGAAACAGTAAACTTCAAAAGGTAAAATATGGGTAAGATAATAATGCTCAATATAATTGCTTTCTATATGCATTTTGAAAGCTCAGTTTTAGCCTTTTAGGTACTCCATAATTAAATTAAAGGTGCTAATGTATACGTATTAATTTGCATCAACCAATAGAATGGAGACATTAACAACTCATATAATTACACTGTTTAACAAATACTCTTTTATCACAAGTGTGCACTCAACATATTTCATGGTACTATTCTAAAAAAACATATTTTATGGTATTTGCAGGTGATATCAAGTTGATTAAAATTCCATCTGAATTTAATCCTGCTGACATGGGGACTAAATGTCTCTCTGTCGAAAAGTTGTTGTCGTGCAAGTGCACGTTAAACATTGATTGCGGATAAGTTGCCTGGTGATCTTACCCCTTTTTCTTGAATGTGTCTTTGTGATCATTCGGGCAATCCAGCGATGATGAGTCTCAAATTTGTGTTAGAGCTTTGACTTTAAACACTGTGGTTCAATAAGGTGGAGAATGTGTTCGTATTGGACAAGCTCTCCATAAGCCCATTTGCTCTTCCTTCTTAGCCTGGCCGGTTGGGTTTACATTCTTCTTCAGCCTTCTCTTTGTTCTTTCGACACTTTCCTTTCCCGCGCTATGCGAATCGGGCATCATCTTCTTTGAAGGTAAGTTACCTTCTATATTCGATATCTTGCCTATTTATTCGAATTCTCCCTTCTCCCGGTTTGGATCGAGCGAGTAACCCTATTCCTGCGAATTAATCTGCCCCTCTTCTCTCCTCAGTGGGGTTCGCTGGAAGGTTGGGTAATTTGGCTGGAAAAGCTTTGAAGGCTCTTGCCCCATTCTTCCCTTTGAGACTATAGTGGAATTATCATCCTTTGTGGATGAAATTGAGACCTGAACTGGAACATTACAGTATTGAGTCATATTTTATGATAAAATAGAGATGTTTGTGTTTAACAAAATATGCCTCCATGTTCTTAATTTTTTTGAATTCTTAAACACTACGTAGTACGAAGTATTTTTTAACTCTAGTTAAGTGATTATTATGCCCACGCTAAATTGCTAACATGCGGCAGACCCAACTTTTCATTAATTTCATATCTAACTAGGAGCAAAGCTCAACTATAAATCTATGGAAGTATGTAACCATGCGGTATAAAATACCTTTATAGCTGGAACTATAAATCTATGGAAGTAGAAACAAATATGTAGTTGTTTAATTGACTAAATCTGAAGCCTTTCCACACTCATTTTTATGAGTTGTGTTTTTTTCGTTGTCTTTCCAAAAGACAACTTTACCATTTTTCAAAGGTTGTTGTATATAGAAATCAATCTGATGGAGTATATGGGTCTAGGCTCCAGGACCCACATACTCAGAAGAACAGAAAGCACAGTCACTACACGGTGCCCTCGTCGGCCAAAGGACCCTTGTCGGCCGAAGAGGGGCCGACTCAGAATATGACCCTGAAGCCAGGGAACCAGGGTGTCCTCATCGGCCGTGCCCTCGTCGGCCAAGACCCTCATCGGCCACGGAAGTCTCACAGAACTAGATTTTACACTTATTCATTTATATAGCCCATCAGTTACTTTGTATTCGGCCCAATAGCGGTCCAGTTGTAAATGGGCCTCCCAAGCCCAAGGCTTGGGAGCCCAGCCCGTATTTTTCCTATAAATACTTCCTCTGGAGGTAGTTATGGGGGTTACAAAATCATTCTATTGAAGCATTTACTTGCACTTCTCCCTCTAGCTCTCACCTCTCTCTAGATATATACTCTATCATTTGGTGCTCTCGTTGAGAGCTAGAACAATCAAGTTAGCACCCTTCGTCGCTACCAAGCACAGCTAACCACTGATCATGGGAAGAACTAAGTCAAACCGCAACCTCATCAGCAAGGCCATCCCTGAGGATCAGGAGACCAGGGAGCACGAGGAGGACGTCACGGCCGACCAGGTCAGCGGAGGGGACGTCTTCCAAGAGGCCATCAACCTCACCACGGACCTCCACAACCAGCTCAACGGCGGCGGCCCTGACGCCCGCATCGGCCTGGACAAGAAGCGCGCAGAGAAGACAGACCACGCCCCGGCCCAGCCTATGGCCGCGGCTTCCCCGTCTGTGGATCCACAGGTCCAGGCCGCGTTGTCGGTCATCATCGCCAGCTTGGCCTAGAACCCCACCGTCCTCAGCGCACTCTTGCCAAGGACTGGGGGGAACGCCACTCCACCTCCTCAGCCCCAACCGCTGGCCGTCAAATTAGGCAACGATGAGGGGGTGATGGCCCAGGACACGGCGTCCCGAAGGAAGTATTGACTCATGGCAGGACCTTGCCCAGCGCTTCCTCACCCACTTTGCCGGGAGGAAGCGTGCGAAGAAGTACTTCACCCATCTCCTTTCCGTCAAGCAGCAACATGACGAGCCCCTCCGGTCATTCATTGATCGGTGGATTAGGGAGACCGAAGAGGTCGAGGGGGCTGATGAGCGCACCCTCCTCGTCCTATACCAGGGAGCCCTCCGCAGCTCCGCGTACGCCAAGAGCCTCATCACTGACCCCCCGAGGTCATATGCCAAGGCGCTTCAGCGCGGGAGCTTGTACGCCGACGCCGACGAGATCCACAACCACAAAAAGGAGGGAGGCCATCCCTCCAAGAAGACAAATCCGTCGCCGGCCCCGCCACCATCTCCGGCCGGCCAGGGTGCCCAGGGCCGTCACGGCTCTGGTGGACAAAGCAAGAAAGACCGCCACTGGCGGCCGAGGTTGGAACGGTCGGGGTCCCCCTCACCCACCCGGTCAGCACCATCCTCGACTACGCCGAGAAGCATGGCCTCATTGAGCAGGCCCCTCGGCCGGCCGAGGAGGTTCTTGCCATCCAGCAAGGCGGCACATACTGCCGGTTTCACAAGAACTCCTCGCACAACACCGACGACTGCAATACGCTGAAAAAAGCCATCGAGTGCCTTATTCGTCAGGGGGAACTCTCCCAATTTGTTAAAGGTGGCCCGCGCAAAAATACGTGGGTAAACACCGGCAAACCTGGGGGCGAACCCTCTACGAAGAAGCGGGAGATCGGTAGGCTCAGCGACGACGAAGACTTTGAGGAGCCTCTGCCGAAGAAGAACCATATTCACCTCATCGTAGGTGGGAATACCGGGGGGACTCCGTCCCCAGAGGAAGAAATGGGCCCAATCCCTTTACATCGGGGAGGTGTCCCACGTCCCCCCCCAGCCGAAGAAACAGCGAACGGAGGCGATCACCTTCACCGACAAGGATCTGCCTCCGGGTACAGAATCACACAGGGACGCCCTCGTCATCCGGTGTGAGATCGGTGACTCCATCATCCACCGTACTTACATCGATACGGGGAGCTCCGTCAACGTGATGTACCTAGACACCTTCAAGCAGCTGAAGCTGGACAAAGCTCTGCTGAAGCCGATCAAGACACCGTTGTCCGGCTTCACCGGGGACTCTATCGACGCCGAAGGCACAATAGTCCTCCCCGTGGAGGTCATCGACGGCCCGCACCGCGCCAAAATTGACATGGAGTTCATGGTGGTCAACCTCCGGTGCACCCACAACCTGATCTTGGGGCGGCCAGCGCTGGAGGACTTGAAGGCCATCATCTCCATGAAACACTTGTGTCTGAAGTTCCCCACCAATGGCGGCGTCGGCTACGCCAGAGGAAACCGGAGGATAGCTAGAGCATGCTACCTCAAGCTAACAAGGCTGGACGAGAGGGAAGGACAGAGAATAGACACCATCACAGTGGCCGCTGCCAAGGACGAGGAAAGGCCGCATGCCGAACCGGCCGAGGAGGTCGAGGAAGTCCCTCTGGATACCTCCCGGCCGGAGCGGGTTCTCAAAATCGGGAAGCAACTCCCACAGGACCAGCGGGACGCCATCCTCCTCGTCCTACGGTCATACGCCGTCATCTTCGCGTGGGGCCCGGACGACATGCCAGGCATCAGCCGGTAGGTGATCACCCACCGGCTAACCGTCAATCCGGCCTCCGCGCCTGTCAAGCAGAAGCGGCGCTACTTATCCGCCGACAGGCGGGACTTCGTCAAAGGGGAGGTCACCATGCTCCTCTCAATCAACCACATCAAGGAGGTGAAGTACCCGACGTGGCTAGCCAACGTCGTCCTCGCCCAAAAACCACCGACATTCAGAATGTGTGTTGATTACACTGACCTGAACAAGGCGTGCCCCATGGACCCGTTCCCTCTCCCCAACATTGATCAGTTGGTGGACGAGACGGCGGGATGCGAGTTGATGTCGTTCCTTGATGCTTTAAAAGGGTACCACCAAATTTTCATGCATGAAGATGACGCTGAGAAGACGACATTCATGACCCCGGAGGAAATTTTTTGCTACCTCGTCATGGCTTTCGGACTCAAAAACTCCGGCGCCACCTATACCAGGATGGTGGCAAAGATCTTTAGAGCAGTCCTCGGCCGGACGATGGAGGCATATGTCGACGACATGATTGTCAAGAGCAGGCAAGCCACCACACATGCTGACGACCTCCGGGAAATTTTTGAGATCATGAAGGAGTTCAAGCTCCGCCTCAACCCCAAGAAGTGCGCCTTTGGCATCCAAGGCGGCAAGTTCCTCGGCTACATGGTCAGCCAGAGAGGCATTGAAATAAATCCAGAGAAGATACAGGCTATCATCGACATGGAGCCACCCCGCAACGTCAAAGAGGTACAACGGCTGACAGGGCGACTGGCGGCCCTGAGTCGTTTCCTCTCCAAGTGAGCCGAGAGGTCACTCCCTTTCTTCCAGATCATGCGCAAGGCAAACAACTTCAAATGGACGACGGAGTGCCAGGAAGCATTTGAAGAGCTGAAAAGGTACCTTTCGTCCCCACCAGTTCTCTCCAAGCCCAAGGCCGGCGAAACCCTCTTCTTGTACTTGGGGGTGAGCACGCCGGCCATCAGCTCCGTGCTCATCCGTGAGGACGAAGGGGTGCAGAAGGCCATTTTCTACATCAGCAAGACACTTAGGGAGGCCGAGCTCAGGTACTCCCCCATTGAGAAGACGGTGCTAGCCATCGTCCATACGGTGAAAAAGCTGGGGCACTACTTCCAGGCCCATGCCGTCCATGTACTGACCCAGCAGCCCCTTGGCGCACTCATGAGGAGCCCCACTAGCTCCTCAAGGATGGTGAAATGGGCGATCTTCCTCAGCCAATTTGAGATTGAGATCAAGCCAAGGCCATCTATCAAAGGGCAAGCCTTGGCCGACTTCATCACCGAATGCACGGCAAGGGAGACAACCGCTACCACCCCCGGCCCAGAGCCCGATGACACATGGATCCTCTTCACCGACGGCTCGTCGTCCGCGAAATCATGCGGCGGCGGTGTCGTCCTCATATCCCCTGAAAGATTCAGAGCTTACTATGCCATCCGCTTCAACTTCAGGGTATCCAACAATGAAGCTGAGTATGAGGCCCTCCTCAGCGGCCTCAGACTTGTCGCTGGCCTCAAAGCCAGGCACATCAGAATCAGGTGCGACTCCAAGTTGGTAGTGGGCCAGGTTGAGGGTACGTACGAAGCAAAGGAAGGACGGATGAAGCAATACAACTAGGCGGCAGAGGAGTTGCTGAAGGCATTCGAAACCCACGAGATCACACAGATCCCAAGGGCCGAGAACGCCGAGGTCGACATCCTCTCCAAACTCAGCTCGGACACTCCGGAGCACATCTCCCAGTTTGCCAAGATCGAGGAGCTGAGCATGTCCAGCATCCATGCCAGCCCCATCTTGTGCATCCAACAGCGATCGGAGGACTGGATCTCCGACATCACCACTTTCATCACGACGGGGGAGCTACCCCAAGACGAGGAGAGGGCCATGCTCATCAAACTCAGGGCCCCAAGCTACACTATTGAGGATGGCAAACTCTACAAACGATCCTATAGTGGTACTCTCCTCCGATGCCTACACCAGGACGAGGCCGATGTCGCCATGGAAGAAGTTCACTGCGGTGTTTGCTCCTCACACCAGGGCCCCTTCAAAATGTCCCGGCGTCTCGTCGTCCAGGGCTATTTCTGGCCGACGATGGCGCGGGATTGTGCGGATCTAGCAAGGAAATGCACAACGTGCCAGGTGCTCCAGAAGGCCCCTGGTCGGCCAGCCATCAACTACGCCCCTGTCAGCACTGCAATTCCTTTTTCGAGATGGGGGATTGACCTGGTCGACCCTCTACCCAGAGCTGTTGGCAACAACCGCTACATCATCATCGCAGTCGACTACTTCACCAAGTGGGTCGAAGTGGAACCTTTGGCCAGCATCACGGGGGCTAGGTGTCAGAAGTTCGTCCACAAGAACATTCTCACCCGTTTTGGTGTCCCCCAAGAGATCATATCCGACAATGGCACCCAGTTCGAAGCGACGCCCTTCCAAGAGCTCCTTCGAGAATGGGGAATAAAGCACTGTTTCTCCTCCGTTGCCTACTGTGATACCCGAGATTAATTTAAGAGGATTAATAGTACTACTCATACCAACAGAGGTGCATCTCCTTTTAAGGGAGCTCATCACCCAAGAACTCCAAAGTTAAGCGTGCTTGCACGAGAGTAGTCTTGGGATGGGTGACCCCCTGGGAAGTTTCTCAGGACGCGCATGAGTGAGGACAAAGTGCGCGGTAAAGGCTCGTGGTGGTTTGTGAGGACAGTACTATTGATCTAGAGTAGCTACCTCGGGTCCTGCGAGGCCGGGGTGTTACAGGTGGTATCAGAGCAACCCTGCGACAGTGTGCTGACCCATTAGATATCGGGCGGGCACTTAGTGGGGCAAGATTCTGGGGTTTCATTGAGATTGGTTTAAGGGCGCAACGAGGACGTTGCGATCCTAAGTGGGGGTGATTGTGATACCCGAGATTAATTTAAGAGGATTAATAGTACTACTCATACCAACAGAGGTGCATCTCCTTTTAAGGGAGCTCATCACCCAAGAACTCCAAAGTTAAGCGTGCTTGCACGAGAGTAGTCTTGGGATGGGTGACCCCCTGGGAAGTTTCTCAGGGCGCGCATGAGTGAGGACAAAGTGCGCGGTAAAGGCTCGTGGTGGTTTGTGAGGACAGTACTATTGGTCTAGAGTAGCTACCTCGGGTCCTGCGAGGCCGGGGTGTTACACCTACCCTCAAGGCAACGGGCAGGTTGAGAACGCCAACAGAACGATAATGGAGGGGCTGAAGAAGAACCTATAGGACGCCGGAGGAAGTTGGGCCGACGAGCTCCCCAACGTCCTGTGGTGCTATCGTACTACGTCGAGGAGGGCAACGGGTGAAACACTTTTCGCCTTGTGCTATGGTTTTGAAGCAAAGGCACCCACGGAGGTCACCATTCCCAGACGACGGGTGGAGCAGTATGACCCAGCGGTCAACAAGGAAAACATGAAAATCCACCTCCACCTGGTCAACGAAAGACGTGAACAGGCATTCATCCGAGCAGAGAACTACTGACGTCAAGTGAAATCATACTACGACGCCAAGGTATGTTCCCGAGAATTCCAAGTGGGGGACTACGTCCTCCGCCGAAGGGAAGCAAGTCAGCCGACGGAAGGAGGCAAGCTAGCCTTGAAGTATGAAGGTCCCTACATCGTCAGTGCCGTGGTGAAACCCGGTACCTACAAGCTTAAACGCCCCAACGAGACCAATGTACCACGAACGTGGAATGTACACCATTTGGTGAAGTTTTATCAATAATCCGAAGGAGGTGCAGCCGGAGAAGCCCTCACCCTTTGACGGATTATTGATTGAACGCCACCCTCGGCCTTGAGCCATTTTTGAATAAAAATCATGTTTCCTTTGATTTCTTGAAATTCAAGTAGCACATTAACAAGCGACCTCATCGGCCACCTTAGAGCGAAAGGCTCAGGCATGGCCGATGTGGCGTTTCGCATCTACAGCCTTAGAGCGAAAAGCTCAGGTATGCCCATTGTATTTTGTATCAGCGAAAGGTTTAGGCCCAGCTGAGAGAACACGTCGTACCGGCCCCTCAGAGCAAATCACTCAGGTAGGGCTGACGATGTCCCCAGGACGATGGGCCCGCAAACGGCCCACGTCTTGAAACGGGAAGTTCACCACGTCGTCCACGCGCCTGATCGCAGGGCGACAAGCCTGAAATCATGGCCGAGGTGACAAAATCCCCAAACTCAGGGATGGGCAACGGCAGTCGTTGGAAACCAACCAAAAGTCTAGCCCGCGTCATAAATAGGCGACGGGACCCCCCCCTGAGATCATGGACGTTATAAACGAAGTCCAAACCGGCCGGAGGACTATCGACCCCTTCGGCCGAAGCCTGAAAGAAGGACACTCCCCGAAATAGGGAACAAAAAAAAAAGAGGGAAGCCGAGGACTGCGCGCACTTGCCGGCCTCGAGCAGTAAAAATAAATCCCCACAAATCAGCCACATTTGGCTAAGTACATATCAGTTGAATACAAAGGTAACACTACCAACAGGTGATGCGGACGAAGCGGGCACCCACTACAAGGAAAGTGTCAAGGACGGAGCATGTGCCCATAAAATCCTAACCTAAGTGGTTGGGTTAAACGAGGGTGGTAACCTTCATCGGCCATAACCACCTGAAGCGCCAACACCTAGCATGAACAATCAAGGAATCATAGCTTCACACTTAAACACAATCCTGAAGTTGTCCACCGGAAAGGAGGCCCAGGACGAAGCGGGCAGTAAAACACCCGCGGGAAAGTTAAACACACGAGTGGCAACCCCTACCGGCCGCAACATTCTTGCTAGCCGTTACAGGTGCTAAAACCTAGGCGGTTGTTTAAGCTGGAAATCTTCCAAGACATTTGTCTAAGTGATTTCCAAACACTTAGGAAAATTCTGCAGAAAGTTGAGTGAGTGAACTCTAAACACTTAGAGAAATTCTTGAGGAAAGCAAACGCGAAGGAAAAGGCAAACACCTGGACACCTTCATCGGCCACAACGCCCAACTTGGCCGACGACAGTACTAAGCAGACAAACTACACGGCCTAACACTTGGGCTATCTCCTCAACGAAGGGACAGCCTCAAGACGAAGCGGGCACTCAAATACCTGTAGGTGCACGTCTCGGCCTCGCCAACGGCCGGTAAGGCCTTGCTAACCGTTAAAGACACTACGACTAAGGCGGCCGCTCAAGAAGACACTCAGTGGACTCCAAACACTTAGAAAGTTCTCCGGAAAACACAAATACCAAAGGCGTGTCCGACAACGGTACCACACAGAAGAAACTACACTTAGAGAAATTTCCAAAGTATTGAATATCGAGGGGACAACCTTGAGATGAAGCGGGCACCTGAATACTTGCAGTGTGGTAGTTACCTATATTTTGTATTGACACTTAGATAAATTTCCAAGTTCAAATAACTAAGGCAAGAAACAAAAACACTCAAGGACGAAGGGGACAACCAACCCGTGCACTCCAAAGGCCAAGTCCCACAGAGGACCACTTCGGCCATGACATTCAGACGGCAAAGGTCACTTACCCTTATCGGCCACAACACAGAAATCCAAGCCGACCTCCTGTTTAGATAATGGGGATGGGAACAAAGCGGCCACAAAGAATACCGGTCCGACAAGAACACCATGCGTGGCATTTGGTTCAACACTTAGGATATTTTCCAAAACATTGGTCAACAGTGAAAGGGGGCGTAACATCAAGACGATGAGAACACCCACCCACTTAAAGCTCTGATACTTAGAGAATTTCCTAAGTCCCAATTCCAAAACACTTAGACGAATTTTGGAAAGAACAAAAAAACAGAGGAACCAAACGGAGAACAAGACGACAAAGACAACAAGGAACTTAAACATGTTTCATTAACATAAATCATCACATGGTGGGCACTTTGGCCGTTACAGTCAAACGATGAAATATAAAGGACAAATTATAAGTTAAAGACATTTGTAGATGATCATGCCTCCGTAGCAGCCTCGTCGGCAGCATGACCCACAACGTCCTCCTCAGCGGCAGACTCGGCACCACCCTCGGTCTCAGCATCCAGGACAGCCTCTACGACGGAAGTGGCGGTGTCGTCCAAGTAATCGTCCGCATCATAATCCGGTTCGCCGAGGCCGGAACTCTCTATGGGAGCCTGGCTATCGCACAGAGGAAGGTTGATCTGCTCCTCCGGATCCTTCATTAGCCGAGGAAGCCGCAGGTTCCACCTAGCCCTACCCCGAGTGTAGTTCAGGGTTCTGAGAGCACGACTCAGCCGCCAATAAATGAGCCTATGCATCCGATGCTGGCCCATGTTGTAATACACGGACATTTCCCGTTCAAAATATTCCTGGCCGGCAGGGGAGTTCTGCCCCCAGTCTTCAAGCTTGGCCGCCACGACCTCATAGCACCAGGGCAGGCGCTCGTCGGCCTTCCAGCCTTCGGCCAGGAACTTCGCCACTGCATCATCAGCGGCTTTCACTGCCGTAGCCTCCGCCTCGGCCTTAGCCTTCTCGGCCTCATCTGCCCGCCGACGATCAGCCTCGCGGGCACCCTTTTCCTCGGCCAATTTTGCTAGGGCCTCTTCTTTGCCCGCATCAGCCTCATCGGCCCTCTTCTGTAAGGCGGCAAAGTCTTCCCGCAGCCTCCCCAAGCAGCTCATGGCCTCATCGGCTGAGGCTGCCTTCTCCTCAAACTCCTTCAAGCGGGCAATCTCCCGCTGCAGCTTCTTGTTGCTCTCCATGAGCATAAAGGCACCCTACAACGGAAAAGGCTATCAGGCAAATGTGCAAAAATATCAAAGGAAAACAACAAGGCTAAGGAAGAAAGGAATTACCTAGACGACGAGGTCCATACCACCGTCGTATATCTTTGTCACGCCCCGGACATACCCGGACACGTCAACAACCCGCCGTACAGTACGAATAATCAATCGCAGTCCGACTCATCCATACTATACAAGGCGTCTTGAATACCATTCACACATAGTACATCCATAAACAAACATAATGTAAAACATTTATTAAAGCAGCGGAAACAATTGATACAAGTGTTCAAGCCACACTTGGCATAATTAGGCATGCAAGCCCCCAAAGTAATTATTCAGAAAATATTATCCATGAGCATTATTCATATTGTTTTTCAAAACAAGAACGGGAGAAGCACGAACCAAGTCTTCTCCTTAGAAACTTCCCGAAGCAGCGGCTGGCGGTAGCAACCTTCAAGTTCTACCTGAAACTGTGAGGTGGCCTCCCCCGTGAAGGGGAGGTCAGTACTTGGAAGCATTTGACAAGTACAATGACAACTATACTAAGTATAATCAAAGTTTGAATCTCTGAGGCCCTCAACTAGGGCATTATTACATTATAGTTAATCCGTTCATTTAATATCAATTCATCATTATTTATCACGGTCTAGAGCCCAGCTCATAATCACCGTTATCTACTACGGTCTAGAGCCCAGCTCATAATCACCGTCATCTACTACGGTCTAGAGCCCAACTCATAATCACCGTCATCTACTACGGTCTAGAGCCCAGCTCATAATCACCGTCATCTACCACGGTCTAGAGCCCAGCTCATAATCACTGTCATCTACTACGGTCTAGAGCCTAGCTCATAATCACCGTCATCTACATTGGTCTTGAGCCCGGCTCATAATCACCGATTCCTTATAATTCAAATTCTTAGGATCTAATTCATCCATTTCTCAACTAACATTTCCAACTAATATTTCAATGCTAGTTATTTATTTATTTCAATATAATTCCTTCTTCTTGCACAATTGGCCTTAATATCAAGTATCACTTTCATACCCTCATAGCTTCTCCTCATGGCATCAAAGTATACTATCTCAAATGATATTCATGGTTAGTACAACCATCATACACACATATTCACAACATCTAAACATACACAATTTATTCATAAATTTGTGTATCATGCATACTATACTTATAATCAATAGTAGTTTCATTTAGGCATTATTAACCATTAACAACTCATACGCATCACATTTGTATTCACTTAGGGAATCCCATGAAATTAACCCAAAGATTATAGGTAACATAGTCGGTCATCCTCACATTAATTAAGCTTAAGCGCGTTCTACGTTTCTCGATTGGACTTTGACCAACTCCGGAGAACTTTGACCAACTCCGGCGAACTTTGACCAACTCCGGCGAACTTTGACCAACTCCGACGAAACTCCGGCGAAGCTCAAAAATACTTTAAATCAAGTTCCTAACAAGGTTTTATCATCACAAAACCCATATCAACACAAATAACCTATAAAAGGTTATTTTCCGGCAACCCGGTCGATTTGGCTTCTAAGTCCGTTTTTGGACTTAGAATCACTTTCCAACCCATTATTCCACACTTAAATCATGTAGAACAATACTAAAGGTCTTTCATATGATATATACCTTATATGCTAGAAGAAAAACAAAGGAAAAGTTATGATAAGGTCATTACCTTAATTTTCACACTTTTTCCTAGCTTTTTCCTTCTTAAACTTTCTTCTTGGACTCCCTTTAGATTGAGTTCGGATTTGGGCTATGGAGATGAAGTTTGCAGAGCTCTTCTCTCCTTCTTGGTGTATTTGGGTCGAAATGATGAGTGTAAGGAGGTAGGGGTGGTTCCTTCTTGTCTCATTTAGACAATGAGTGAAGGGAGGGGGCCTACTACATGTCAAAGGTGTCTCCCCCATCCTCTCAATTGTTGTTCAGCCAATTTGGCACTCATCCAGCCCTCAAGGGTTGACAATTTCGTGGGGTGGCCCCCACCCATGTGGGAGGTCATCCCAATTTGTCCCAAAGTGTGCAATTTGCCCCGAAAGTTGTATTTTTTCCGGACTGTTTTAAGTATATTTTATTTTATCGGGTCAAATAAAATATAACACTTGTTCCCAATTCTTAATGGACCTTAGAATCAATATGCATCCCTCAACTTTAATTTAGAAGTCTCCGAAATCCCTTTTCGGGCTGTTATCTGATAGATTGCCGATACTGATAATTTGGCCCCGTTTGACCAACCGGTCAACCCTATGCCATTGTCATGGCTCAACTAGGGTATCCACCACCATATACATGTTATCTAGTCCAAGATCAATATAATATGTGGCCCCTATAATATCGGGCGGTCCCCACTCCCGATGTGGGCCCCACGTGCATTTTACTATTCACGCGAAAAAATTAATACAAATTCACAACTTCGTAAATTCACTAAATATTTCATAGGGTTCAATAAATTATTAGCTTAAAGATAAATACATTTGGGGACGGTGTTACAAGTTCACCCCCCTTATTTGGGATTTCGTCCCCGAAATCCACGTGTCTAATCGAAAAGGAAAGGGTACTGCTCCCTCATTGAGACTTCAGTCTCCCAGGTTTCTTCTTCGACTCGATCACTCCTCCAAAGGACCTTTACCATAGGAATCTCCTTGTTCCTTAGTTTCTTTACCTGTTGACCCACAATCTTCACCGGTTCCACCGCATATTGTAGGTCTTCACGTATCTCTACCGGTGGTTTCTCAAGGATATGAGACGGATCTCGCACATATTTCTTGAGCATCGATACATGAAACACGTCGTGTATCTTCTCAAGTTCTGGCGTCAATTTGATACGGTAAGCCACGGCCCCTATCCTTTCAAGGATTTCAAATGGGCCAATGTATCGGGGGTTAAGTTTTCCCCTCGATATAAACCTGATGATACCTTTCCAAGGAGAAATCCTTAGAAAGACCTTATCACCGACCTCAAACTCCAATGGCCTGCGTCGTTTGTCAGCATAACTCTTTTGCCGATCTTGGGCAGCCTTGAGTCTATCCTGAATGACTTTCACCTTAGCCTTGGTGATTTCGACAAGTTCAATCCCCTCGAGCTTGGCTTCGCCAACCTCGTCCCAACACAACGGTGTTCTACATTTCCTCCCATACAATGCCTCGTATGGAGGCATGCCAATACTCGCCTGATAACTGTTGTTATAGGCAAACTCAACCAGAGCCAAATGCTTGTCCCAACTCCCTTGGAACTCCAGAGCACATGCCCTAAGCATATCTTCCAAAATCCGGATCACCCTCTCGGATTGCCCATCCGTCTGTGGGTGAAAAGTTGTGCTAAACTTTAGCTTCGTACCCAAGGATGCTTGAAATTTTGGCCAAAATCGGGATGTGAAACGTGGGTCCCTATCCGAGACAATGGATATCGGAACTCCATGCAGTCTCACAATCTCCTCCGTGTATAGCTTTGCCAATCTTTCAAGAGGATAAGTAATGTTGATAGGCAAAAAGTGTGCACTCTTGGTGAGCCTATCAACCACTACCCATACTGCATCATAGTTGTTCACTGTTCGTGGTAGCCCCACCACGAAGTCCATGGTCACGTGCTCCCACTTCCATTCTGGAATGGTAAGTGATTGTAAAAGTCCTGCCGGGTGCTGATGTTCCGCCTTGACTTGTTGGCAAGTAAGGTACCGACTCACGTACTCTGCGATGTCCCTCTTCATACCCGACCACCAGTAACTTTCCTTCAAGTCTCGGTACATTTTAGTACCTCCTGGATGCATGGCATACGCCGAAGAATGAGCCTCCTCCAGTATAGACCTTTGGAGTTCCTCGTTCCTTGGTATGCATACACGGCCTTTAAACAATAAAAGACCGTCATCACGTACCCGAAAGTTCTCAACAGGTCCCTCAAGGATCTGTTCACGGATCTTCTGACATTCTTCATCAGTGGCCTGACATCTACTGATCTCACTCAGCAATGTAGGCCTAACCTCGAATCTAGCAATGAGAACCCCACTTGTGGACACCTTCACTTGTGCCCTTAGTGAGCGTAGACACGTGAGTAACGTCCCCGATGTACTCTTTCTGCTCAATGCATCGGCTACTACATTGGCCTTCCCGGGATGATAGTTGATGATCAAGTCATAGTTCTTGATCAACTCCATCCATCTCCTTTGTCTCATATTCAACTCTTTTTGAGTGAATACATACTTCAAGCTTTTATGATCGGTGAAAATGTGACATGTCTCCCCATAGAGATAATGCCGCCAAATTTTCAGTGCAAACACTACCGCTCCCAATTCTAGATCATGGGTAGGGTAGTTTGCCTCGTGTTTCTTTAATTGCCTTGAAGCCACTAGTAGAAAAAGGGCCTATAGCGACACTAATTTAGTGTCGCAGAAACTTTCAACGACACTTAAAAAGCGTCGGGGAAAGTGGCGGCTAGCGACACTAAATATAGTGTCACTGATGCGGGGACGGTTTTGTGTCTGCAAATAATGACACTAATTTATCTTCTAAAATAGCGACATTTATGCATCAAAAACACATTGTGACATTAATACATCATAGATTTTTATGACACTTTCAGCATCATAGATTTTTCTGACACTTCAATGTCACTTGGTTGGTTTTGTTTATTGGGCCTATATAGGCCTAGATAATCCCATGGTAGGTTTACTAGAATTCTAATTTACTGTTTACTTCATTCATAAATATTATAACATCCAAATATTAATGGATACCCAAAACACATCATTTAACATATAATATTCAGTAACACGTTTACATTCTTGTTCAATTACATTTCCTACCGCAGGATAAAAGATACATCAAAATTCCAACAATATTCCAGCAAAAAAAACGGCTATTGAATTCAGCCAAAAACTACTACCAAGCATCATTGAAGATGCTAAAATACAAACAAGTCACCCACAGGTACCAATGTTTAGTTATCAAAAGTGTGACCTGCCTCTACATAGATACATAACATAACACCAATAATTCTAACTGCCTTCAACAATAATCGGAAATGCATCTCCCTGTGCATATCATCAAGCCTTTGTAGGATCCGCTTGCACACTACATATCAAACAAAATATAATATTACATCCATATATTATGAAAGTTATTTTCTGTAAATTTTAAATGTGAACTTACTTTTTTATCAAAGCAGCAGCATACAAAGCCCACTCCTCACGCACTTGTAAAATATCATCTTCAGTATACTCCTTGACGGTAAAGAACTTCAATGTAAAATTAAATTAATTAGCACTTACTATTATTACAAGATACACTAATTAATTAATTGCGCTCACATTCTGTTTCAAAAGATTCACGTCTGATACAATATCCTTCATGTACTTCATCACAAAGTAACCACACTCAACTCCTCCTGTTTGGTTAGGGCACTGCGTATATTCAATTTAAATAGACAGTACATACAAACTAAGATTTACTAAAAACAAAGAACAAGTTATAGTAAAAATAATAATACAGTCATGTATTGAATGGATTGCAACAATTCACTTCTTTAACTCACTTCTTTAAAACAAATTGCAATAATTCAATAGGAGTATGCTTCATGGATTGGCCTTTCCAAAGGGATTTTATTATTTTTTATCTTTTGGACCAGATTCCCTTGGGAGGTTGAGCCATGATTTTTATGCAACTTGAGACTTGCAAGTAGGTATATGGAATGACTATTACCCTAAATGCAGTTTGAATTATGGACCTTACATGTAAGGTCAAAGGGATCTCGCACGGAGAACGCAGAAATGGAAGATGAAGTACGGCCCCAAGTTTCTGACATAGAGAAGAATTTTGGTTGGCTCGACAAGGAACTTGCTGCTAGTGGTTTTACTAGGAAGGATCAAGATGATATTGAGAAGTTTATTGAAGTAGAAAATGTGGATACCCCAGTATCAGATGATGAAGGATATCAACAAAAGAATGAACCAGCAACAACAGATCTTAAGTCCTTGAAATTGGATGAGAAGGAAGAAGATGGTCAAAATGAAGAGAGTAAAAGTGTGTTGAAGAATAGTAGAATTCATTTTCATTTACAACTTTGTTGGACCAATAAAGAATCAAATTGTAGCAGGGATAGAGAAAGTACTCAAAAGAAAATGTTAAAAACAGGTCCGCCTTTAGAACTTTGGAGGCCCTAGATGGAAAAAAAAAGATCCATAAATTATGTTAATGTCATTCTATAACAAAAAATAAAATATATATAGAGTTGCAAAAAACAAAGCAAATCAGTTTTCCCTCTCCCAAGTCATACCAATATCTATAAATAAACAAAGCAAATCAGTTTGGGACATGTAAAACAATTATACATTAATCATATTTCCTTATTGAATTAGAGTTGCAATTTGATGTAAATGAACTCAAAAATATATTCTAATAAAGTAATAGTGTAATGTTAAAACAACTTGAAACTAAAAACTAAAATATTCTGTAATGACATTTCCATCAAATTGCAACTCTAATCGTACATACAACTCAATATGAAAGGTTTGACAGTTCAATATCTTAAAATCTCTTGACCCGTCTAAAAACTTTAGATCAATACCGAAGCTCTTTGCATTCTACTACTGCATAGGTGTTAATACGTTGTCAAGATTGGCTTTGAAAGGTTTGACAGTTTCTTATAACTTAACAGATTCTTAAACAGTGCAAGCTAAACTTTCTAAGTAGTGAGATTGTAATATGGAATCATGAATACCGTCATGTGACTTGCTTAGTAAAATGAAATACATAACTGCTCAAGCAATATCCACAATGAGAGTTTACTTCATACCGTCAAGTACTATAACTTTGTTATCCTTCCCCTAAAGGAAAAAGTACACTTTTGTTTTACTTACATGTTGTGAACTTAATAATCATATGCTTGGAGATTTTATCCCTGAGGTTGTTGATGACTGGAAATTTTGTTAGCTTAATCTGAATTCCTGGATCCAGTGATCACAGTTCTTAATAGCCTTCAAAATTGGAAATATAAAACTAGAGCTTCATTGTATATGATGTGATATAAATGAAAATAACAAGATATAGCATGTCTTGCTTACATGAGTTGGCTACAAGTGCAGTGGAAATCCAGATATAGCTCAACAAACCTCATAATTTGTGTTCAATATTCTTTTAGTTTTAACAGAATATGAAAGGTTTGACAGTTCAATATCTTAAAATCTCTTGACCCATCTCAAAACTTTAGATCAATACTGAAGCTCTTTACTTTCTACTACTGCAGAGGTGTTAATACGTTGTCAAGATTGGCTTTGAAACTCAAAAATACCCATACAACTTGAAGAAATCAAAGAGATCGAGTCAGGTAATTGAATCGAGTCTATCAATCTGTTGTGTCAAATTTTATGTTTATGTTTATTGTTAATTAACATTTACAAATCGTTAATAGTCATTGACAAATATTGACTGTCAGTTTCATTAATTCCTTATGCTGGCTTTGCCTAACCACAAGGAAGTTGCTTGCCTACATCCATTATAACAGCTCTGCCATTTTAGCAAACTGCTGCAGCAAAGCTATGCCCCAAATCAGTTCTAACGCAGGTAATTTCATATTTTCATGGTTATCTAATTGTTTCTAAATCAAAGGGAAAGGAACAGCAAATAGAAAGAGGCTCAGTAAGATGTATAGCAGTTTAATGCTTTAACTTCTTATTCTCCCAGTCCAAATCTCATCTCACAATAACAGCAGACCTGCAACTACAATTACCTTTATTCACATTGAACTACGAGTGACATAGTAAGATGCCTACTCAGAAACTCATCCCAAAACTTCACCAAACGTGTAATAAAACATGTAGAGTATTAACTTTCAAAACAAACTTTGAATAAATGAAGAGTTTTGTCAAACACATTGTATGCAAACAAGAATACTGAGTTACTTCATTTTTTTTTTCACAAACTACTTAATATATATCAATCATTAGTTTCATCACACACATTCATATGTAGAAATACACTCAGATGTTTACTAACTAACCAAAATCAGTTTCCATGATCTTACTTTCGGATGTAAAACACAAATCAAATCTAAATATTATTGAAAATAAGAGATAATATTGATGAAAACTGAAAAAACAATGAAGTGGTAGACTACTTACTTACTGGAGTTGTGGGCGGCTGGAGAAGAGAACGAAAGAAGCGATTGAGTACGGTGAGGAAGTGTTGCGACGGACTCAATCGATCGAACTGTTGAAGGGTGCCATGGAATAAATCGATCGAACTCGGGCGACGGAGTATGTGCTCTAGCTGTGGACGAAGAATCGGCCGGTTGAGAAGGATAATAGCGAGAGTACGGCAGTAATTGGAAGAATTTAGCTATGGAAATCGATCTCAAGCTAGGGTTAGTTTGTGCGGCGCAGCTCTAGCTTTGGACGAACGAAACAGATCGATAGATTTTTCTTTTTGTGGGATATGATAGCTAGGTTAGCCGGCCAAGTGTAATGAAACACAACAAGTAATAAATTAGCCAAGTTAAAATTTTTTAAAGCACACACCTAGCTACCCGGCCCATTAAGTGTCACTATTACGTAGTGATGTTTTTTTGTTAGAAATTAGTGACACTTTTATGTCATTGGTAGTGTTCTATCAGAAAAGTGTCACTACGAAAGTGTCACTGTAAGCCAGTTTTTTACTAGTGAGCATAGGCAATCACCTGACCGTTTTGCATTAGAACACATCCAAGCCCTTGGATGCTAGCGTCACTGTATATGTCGTACCCTATCCCTTGTGTGGGTAGAGCGAGGACTGGTGCTTCTGTAAGCCGTTTCTTTAGTTCGAGAAACCCTTTCTCACAATTGTCGTCCCATATGAACTTGGCCCCTTTCTTTGTGAGCTTTGTCAATGGAGACGCCAATACAGCAAATTTTTCAACAAACTTACGATAATATCCTGCTAAACCGAGGAAGCTACGTATTTCTTTCACGTTTTTGGGTCTCTCCCAATTCATAATGGCTTCTATCTTGGCTTTATCCACCGCAATGCCCGAACCTGACACGACATGTCCGAGGAATCCGATCTCTTTGAGCCAAAACTCGCATTTAGAGAACTTGGCAAAGAGTTGTTTTTTCCTTAGCCGTTCAAGTACAAGTCTCAAATGATCTTCATGCTCCCCCTCACTCTTGGAGTATATCAAAATACCGTCAATGAATACTATCACGAATTGATCTAAGTATTCACTGAACACACGGTTCATCATGTCCATGAATGTCGCCGGGGCGTTGGATAGCCCGAACGACATGACTAGGAACTCGAAATGACCATACCTTGTGCGGAATGCACTCTTCGGTATGTCATCTTCCTTTATTTTCAGTTGGTGGTACCCCGACCTCAAGTCGATCTTCGAAAACACCGTCGCCCCTCGGAGCTGATCAAACAAGTCATCAATTCTAGGCAAGGGATACCTATTCTTGATTGTGACCTTGTTCAGTTGACGATAGTCAATGCACATACGAAGTGTTCCATCTTTCTTCTTCACGAAAAGGACCGGTGCTCCCCACGGAGAGTGACTCGGCCTTATGAAACTGTTATCCAATAGCTCTTGCAATTGGGTTTTCAACTCGTTAAGTTCAGCGGGTGCCATTCTGTATGGCGGTATAGAGATTGGTTTGGTGCCGGGTTCGACCTCGATCACGAACTCAATCTCCCTATCGGGTGGAAGTCCCGGCAAGTCTTTTGGGAAGACATCCGGATACTTGCACACAACTCTCACATCATTGATGTCTATCTCTTCTTTGGTTTTGTCCACCACATACGCTAGGTATGCGTGACACCCCTTTCTCATCATATTCCTTGCTCTCACGGCGGATATGATACAACAGTTTGATTTGCCTCTATCTCCCTCGAAGCGTAAGGTCAACCCTTCGCCGCCTTCGAGTTCAAGAACCTTCGTGTAGCAATCGACCCTAGCATGATGTTTCTCAAGCCAATCCATCCCGAGGATTGCATCAAACTCGATCATACTCAGCGGTACGAAATCACACGTCAAGTTCTGTCCCTCCACCTCCACCTCACACGATGGATAGTGGCTTTCTCTCTCGATATCATCCCCTAGAGGCGTGGACACCAATAGGGTTTGAGTCATCGGTACAAGTGGTCCGTTGAATCCGCTGGCGAACGCCTCACTCACAAATGATCGTTGCGCCCCGGTATCAATAAGGATCCTTGCTTCTCTCCCGTTTATCTTTAGTGTTCCTACATTCATAAGTAATGTAAGACACACCATCTAATAAATAGGTCCGTTTCTTAAGTCGTAGAGTATGTTGGTTGTGTTTCGGGTGGGGTCCGTTCGATACCCTCCCGAAATTTCCCGGTTTCTAACCTTTAGGACCGTTTTAGGATCAATCCGGGTGAAAGCCGGCCGCTTTTCACGAAAGCCGGCCGGTTTTCGACTGCGAGAAAAATTCTAAGTTTATAATCACGAAAGCCGGGCGGCTTTTACGAAAGCCGGGCGGCTTTCGTCGCCGTAGTTTTTATTCAGGGAATGATTTCGAAGCCGGCCGGTTTCTACGAAACCCGGCCGGGTTTCAGCAGCGCAGGAATTTCTAGGCCCGACGAAAGCCGGGCGGCTTTCAGCTGTGAGAAAATTCCCAGGTCAGGCCTTTATGAAAGCCGGGCGGCTTTCAGCTGCGAGAAAATTCCCAGGTCAGGCCTTTATGAAAGCCGGGCGGCTTTTGGTAGAAACCGGCCGGCATTCGTCGCCGCAGCATTTTCTCAGTATTTCAAGACGAAAGCCGGGCGGCTTTCGTCAAATGCCGGGCGGCATTCGCCCAGGGCGGGGGTTTTTCCTCCCCTTTTCCCCACAATCCCGACCAACCCGTCGGGGTTACAAATTTTGCACCTTACAAACACTCCTATTGCATACAATGGAGTAATATCGTGAGTTTAAGATCTTACCCGCCACGGAGTCCGGGTTAGCACGTGCGTCCGCCTCCGTCATCGCATAAACTCTAGTTTGAGTTCTTCCTTGATTCACGGACGGCGCATTGCTCGTGCTCGCTCCCCCCTGGCCCACACTGGCATGAGGTGCTCCGGCCCGGTTCCTACTTGCCGTGGTAGCGCCGCTTGGTCCCGACCCCCGGTTCCCACCAAGTTGAGGGAAGTTTGGCTTAATATGCCCTGTACTCCCGCATTGGTAGCACCG